TTAAATTTGTAATTATTACACAGCATTAAACTATTTATTCTAAAATAAAAATTTGTTTGATTTCACTCTTAGTTGTTGGACTGGTCTTCCACAACATGTGACTCCCACACTTAATAGTTTGCTTGCAAATCTCTAATCTCTTCCCCAAAATTCAGATTTAATGCCTCTTTAACAAGTGTCTTCAATTCCTGTTTGTTCCATTGCTTAAACTTTCTGGATTGATGGAAAGAATATTGTTCACTCTCAAATCTTACACTGGAAATGCATAAAGAAGACGGTGATGGTATTGTCTGTTAGAAGGTAGAATAAACCTTATACTTACAGATAATAGAAAAGCTCCATGTACACAAAGGAAGTTAAGGCAGGACAAGTGTACTTGGAAAACATTTTCTGTCATATTTTCAAAGAAAAAAGCCCAGAAATAAAGCAGAAGGTAACATTTATTTTCATATCTACAAGAATTTCAATACTCATTCACATATTTCTTGATTATGTCACACAGCAGTATGAGACAGGAAACTGTATCTTTTTTTTCTTCGGTTTGGTCGCCTTGAAGAATAGAACAACAGTCCTAGACTTCCCAGCAGGGCCGGTACACCCGTCCCACCATGCACCTCATGTTGTCCCTCCTAAGAATAGGGATGCCCAGCTGCTGTCCGGCGTCTCCATTCTCAGCGACCTGGTTGTCATCGGTTCTTCGCTTGTAGACGGAGAGCCCGTTCTGCAGCACTCGCAGGTCCCTCCAGATGGATGGATCAGCAGCGATGACGATCACCTTCGGTGTCCGTGCTCTGGGTGCTAGATCTGCATCAACCAGATTGTTCTCCGTTCCCTCGTCGTTTAGGAGAGAGTTGAAAACCTCTTGCTCCAAGGATCCGTCTTCAGCCTTGCCCATGGGTAGCACCATTGACAGGGCATTACAGTTGAGGAAGAGTGCCGCGGCAAAGGTGACGGACAGGAGGGACTGCCTCATGGTGGGGTTCTTCTGGAGGTTTGCTTGGAGTAGATAGATTTTCTTCTGAATCCTGTCTTCTCAGGTCTTTTTTGGACTGTGGATCTATCACTGCCTTTTATACCATTTCAGTCTAAGCTGAACACGTTGTATTCTGAGTCATCAGAGCTTCATCTTTTGTTTGTAAGAACGAGCAGAGCAGTTGGGTAGAACTCCTGCTGTGTCTAAGTGTGTTGTCTTGCAGGAACATTAATTAAAATCCATAGTGTGTCGGCTTCTGTTAGACACTTGAAAATCAACTAAAAGGTTTGAAAACAGGGTCCACCTGAGGAGGGACGTTAATCCAAAATAACTGTCCTTTAAAACAAAGAGGACGGATAAACCCCTATGATGCGGTTCTAATGGTCAGCGTGTTGTTCAAGAAACACGCTTTCCGAAAGTATTGTTGTAGAAATACTCCAAGAGGGGATTGAAACTTAAGCCTAATGGGGAAAAAGAAAACAGGCGGTTGTTGAAGTGTTATGTCGTCGTGGCAGCAGATCTGTTGACGTGTAAAAGCGACA